TGGTTTGCTGGTGCTTTCAGGCTTCGCAAGTCAGAATTAAGACAACGTTCAACAGCCGCTTGAGCATCTAATGAGCCATTCCTTGCTTCTTACGTTTGGATGCGACGCGCAGCGGGCGGACAGATTTTTTTTCTTAGCATTTTTTCAAGTGGTACGCGCTAGCCTCGCGCGTAAATGCTAAAGGGAAGCATATAAAGAAATGACGAATACATTATCCCTGTTTACTTTGCAATACTCTGAAAGGGACTGCCATAGGTCATGCTGCACGTCTGTGAAAAAGAGATACAATAAACGTGCCTGGGTAAAAGTAACTTGTAATCGACGATATAAAGCGCTCTAATTAGACGTTATTCGAGAAAATTCTTGAGTGGCCCTATAGGGCAGATATCACCCAACTACCAGGCCTAGTTTCACTGATGTCATTTGCTTGCACTTATCTACTGGAGCATGAGCAGAGTAAATTTTTTCTATAAACACATTTGTTAAATATATTTAGCTTTTTTTTTTAAAGTTAACAGGTCGCTAGTGCTCGCCGTACTACGGGCTATGGTCATTTTTTAGAGGCAGAACTAAAATTCACAATCCGTTAGCATTTGCAAATGAAGTGTTTGAAACTTGAAGAATCTATCTCTCGAAGCTCATTGATGTCTATATAAGTTTTAAAAAAGAATTGACACTTGGAAAGCTTTCATTTCACATCCAACCGTTAGCATATATAATTACTGCTACTTTAGCATATGTAGAACAAAGACTTTACAGCCTTCAAAAGACCTTTGATCCATTCTGCGTTGCCTCATTTCGACCGACCCCCCCCCACCTCATTCTACCTCTACGATAGGTCTTCGCGTTTACTTTTAGATTGAAGTTTAACACGATCTGTACATGCAAGTACGCTTCAACTGATCGCGTGCGCGTGTCCTCAGCAACGATTTAGTTCAACCCTGTCTAGTTGAGACGCATTACTACAGGTAAGCCAGAAGTCTCATACAGAAATCTGATAATGCGTTTAATTTAGGCCTAGCACGCCAGGTGCACGGTGCAACGAAACAGGATTTGATTTATTTTCGCCGCTCACCTTGTGTCCGCAACAGTCAAATTACTGCGAGCGATTATCCTTCTTCCTAAATAGTCCGTTGAACTTTAATGTCGCGGCATAGCTAAATTGTGTTTCCTTTTTTTTTCTAATCACACAATGGACGATTTGGCAAGACGACCTTATAGCCGGATGTGGTCCCTTCTAAAGCCCTCTAAAGCGATCCGACTTCTAAAGGAAAGCGCAGCTCTCCACAGTTGACCAGTGTGAAAACGTACGCTTCAATAACATTGAATGGGTCCAGCATCGAGAAAACCCTAGATATGTACACAATAAATGAGAAATGTATCCACGGACAGAACGAGAAACACTTCCAAAACATTCGAAGCGTTTTTTTTTTTAATATTTCATTTTAATTATCCGTTTATTATATTATAGCGTATTTGGATCTAGAAGGAATTCACGCTAACACAGAGAACAATAATAAAAATATTTATTTCTAAAATAATTTTGAATTTTAATAAAATGACTGGGTCATTGGTCATCGTTTTGAATGTACATAAAATCCCGGTCTAGTACTTTTAACGATATTCACGCAATGAATCAAAATTGTGACATGTATTTCTAGTGCTCGCTAGTACTAGCGTTCATCTTAGCGTGAATGCTTTGTCTCTCTTGACGTATCGCTGAAGACGTATCGCTTTCATGGAAGGTTTATCGGCCGGCTGCTGCAACTCACCTCAGAATTCACCTCATATTTACTGATACTATATGAACTGAGTGTGGACGATATATGGGTTCGTATTAAATAGCGAGGTGTTCAACTATCTATTTCATACTTGGTAATTATGTTCACAATGTACGCTTCCGTCGCATCCTCCGACGGTTGAAAGGATAGCGGACACCCTGATAGGCGACGAACCCTTCTGTTGATGAGAACAAGAAAATGACATCGATCTGATACACGCTGTGACCCAGTTCGTGTTGAGTAAGCAACGTTGACAAAAAAGTTGTCTCATATCCTTCTTTTCGGGTTATTCGATCGACCTGGATGTTAAGGCACCGCTTAAATGGTATATAGTCGCTAATATAACTTACGCGGCTGCGGCAAGTATTTCGACGATGCTGCCTCGTACCTTCCGAAAAACCTCCACGCTGGAGTGCGTAAGTCATCGTTCGAAAAACGATCGAACAAGCTATTCTTCCTATGTAGCCACCGATGGAAATTGCTACAGCTGGATTTCTTAAACACGGTCCCAATGTAGCTAGCGTCGCTGTTCATGTAGTTTAGAGGTTGACCTAGAAACACAATTCTATTTTCCGTTTGGTTAACAACGGTGGGTACTAGCTCATGTTTGTCTCATTCCCTGGCAGACATATACCAAAGGCTTCTTCTCATTGCTCACTGCCAACAGATACATTCTAATTGTGCTACAAGCAATTGTCCAACTATGTACTATTTGTTCGACGTATATACATGAGCAGGCACATGCGAATGTTTCGGCAAAAGCACAGACCGATTCCGTATAGCACCAATAGCATACCTGATGGAGAACTTTTGTCAGGATGCTGTCGATCAACACTGGCGCACCCACAGTTGAAGCCATTTGTCATGGGAACCTAAGCGTCGGGCTGAAGCGTTTGGCGAATGGGATCTTGTTCTTGCGGCCTAGCATTACGTTCGCTTCTGTCAGACTACTTACTGCCTCCAGACGTGCAATACAAGAGGCAGCAGCAATGATCTGTCGTTTTTTTGACTGACATACAGACGGATCTTCCGCTAGATGACGCCCCTAAGTAGTTCATCGTGATCAGCTGCGGTTGTCAGGGGTTTCTTCGATTTCAAATTGCACCCCTAATAGGTTAATTCTCTATTGTTGAACGTGTCACCCTGCAGCCATTAATGGCCTTGCGAAAGTTCTAACCGTTGAAATTTGCCCGTACAGGTCACTGTACAGTAATTGCACTCGATCAATAGCTGAGGTCTCAGTTGTCTAACAAAATACCTACTTGAGATTATCCTGAACGACACCTAAATCAGAACTAGGGACATATAAAAAGACGTTCTCCTGTTGGCGTTCCATTGCCGCCCGCCGGAGGCTAACTAAGGATAAACGCGTATTGTCGAATAAAGGCCTTAGTTGCACAGGAGGGACTAACAAATACACGACGTTCCCACAGAGCCACACCTACGATAGCTTGTTTAGCTGACATTCAGCCATCTATACGACCTTTGACATGCTTTTGTTTTTTCTGAAAACTGCTTATAAAACAGACAGCAAGCAACATACGGAAATAGATATATGGTTTTGTATTGCATTCGAGCTACACAGAGGGATAGCCATGTCTTAAGAGCCGTAAGAGGGACAGGGTGCAACGCAACGGTACAATCAGCACTCCCCAAATTGCTTCATCTATAGCTCATTAACGACTTCATAGGTTCGGCGTACTGTTTAAACGGAAGAAAAAGAGAAGGATAAATTCGATTTCCACCGCAGAGTGAAGAAGAGGCTCATAAACTGAATCTGCACAGGAACCTCGGATAAGGAGAAATTTGAAATAGATTCACTTTGGGTTACAGGATGGTTCTGACCGTGGACTCCTGGTGGCCGAAACCTCAGTCAATCCCTTTCATTCTGATGACACTCGTGTACGTCTGGGGAATTGGCCTAGTTTATTTTTCTTTACATTTCGTGGTACATTCAAATACGACATATAATTCTCATCAACATCATCTTTCGCAGGAGATTATTTGTAATGAAATATATATACAATATAATTACAAGGTACAAACTTAGGCTCCTTGTCCAGTTTGCCTCTCAAGATGGTCGGCCTCATCAAAGTTACGCTCAGCAAACAGAAAAAAACAGCAACGACAAAGTACAAAAGCATGCATAAAACCGAACCGCGTGAAACGTAGATTAGCATTCAGGGCAATGGGCATCATTTTAAATTTTACGGGACGTAAAATATAAACTCAGATTAATAACTCGTAATGAAGCACGTAAGTTATGAAAGGGGCAAGTACTTTGCGACGTTAAATCTAACTCTATATGTTACGCTAAAAGAGCTGTAAAATGAACGTAAATACCGAACAATTATTTTTAAAAGAATGTATTACTGTGTTGTTTATTTCAAACAGTATTCTAGTTCATTTTAGCTATTTTTGATCCGATTGATAGGCCATTTCGGTGTACGCTTTTTGAATCTGCATTATAACCTGCGGTGCGACATGGCCTTCCGAGAGCAGCATGTTCTTGTTTTTCTACGACGCGGGTGGGGCTCAACAAATGTATGCCGTGGTGCATATGTGTGCAGGACAGTAGAGTGAAAGGACAGAATTGAACATTAGTCATACACCTATTATCGTAAGGGCGCAAAATATGAACCGTTGATAGGAACGCTCTATGCAAATAAATCATTGTAGTTTGACACGACGCCTCGTAATAACCGTGGCTATAAAAAGACTGGCTAAGATATACGACATATATTCCTGAAGCTGCCTGATCTGTAATTGGAAATTAACGATTATATTTTATGTTATAAAGGTTATTATAGATACATTTCGTGCACCGTCTATACTATCAAACAAAATAAACAGCTAAGTGAATGATAAGCTCCTGTCACTTGCCTCATTACGATTTCGAATATAGCCATTCGTACTATAGCTGCATATATAGAAGGAAGAACTATACGACCGTTGTCACCTTAAATCTTCGAAGGCAAATTGCTAGAAAGCTTCCAGGAATCCAACTTTAGCCATTCAAGTTTGCTACATGGCCCGTAGACACGGTATCTAACGAAAAATCCCTGCTTATAGGTCCATATACCTCCATGTTATGGCTTCCCTTCCCGACCTATGGGCAAGAGTAAAGTGCGACCCTTTCCACACCTGCCTGCCACTTTCCCACACAAAAGTCATAAACATTGCACGTCACAGGAGTTACCTCAGAGGGTGCTCGTTGAGTTCAAGCAGCGGCTGCTCATGTGAGCACCACTGGTGCGTCTTATATAGAGCGATGCGATGAATCAAAGGATCTCACTCACCTAGATCTACCTCAAGTTTATTTACTAAATAGTTTGCAATCGTGTGCTCAGCAATAAGTAAACAAAAAAGCCTATCAGGAGTTGTGGTGCGCATTATTGGTGTTTTGTGAACAACAAATAGAACTCGTAAGCTGCCATTGATGACCGCGTAACAAGTACTCCCACACATTCGGATTAATAATAACAACAACAAAAGCAAAGGACCACGAAACGAGTGCGATGAAGCTAAATAAACTATATATTCATAGATTTGATTAGATTCGTGCAATGTCAGCTTCGCTACGTGAGTGTACATAAAGTGCTTTTGTACCTCCTTCTTCAGTAAAAGAGAAGAAGAGTGCGGCGTTTTATAAATTCGCAAGATATCGGACAATAGTTCATACCTGACCATTAGGTTTCATCTGTAAACGCACTTTTCCACCTAGGCTGCTATAATCCTGGTAAGTGATAATCCTGGTAAAAGGTCATGTGGCTTCGTCGATTGATTGTGCAGCGGAAGAAAATAGTCGAGGGCGCGACACGGATTTCCAGGTCAAAGCTAAATGAATGTCAGATCTGTTTTTTTATGACGAATCCAATCCAGAGATCAACATACACTGTACGATATTTACAATGCGCAAACAAATTATACGCATTCCTTGTATCGTTTTCTAAATTGGGCAAAACTAAATGAATCTGTTACTTCGTTTAAAGCCCTCTTCTTCCGTAGAAGTGTTATTCTTGAAGCCACTAATAACATCCTATAAACTATGAGAAAAAAAAAACATATATAAGAAAGAAACATGTAGTTCTAATGCCCGTAACATGTGAAATGAACAGTGTATATATTTAGCATTTTACGAAAATGCAGGTAAACCGTATCATAAATAGGTCTTAATCATGGAGTAGTCTAACTACTTGTCAAGATACAATTCCAATTACTTGTACTCGATGCCACTAAATGTTTATATGAATATATATATATATATATATAAACGTTTATATGCGAAACAAATTCTTAGGAAATAGTTTTCATTTTGCATCGTAAAAAACCCACTTGAATAGTAAGTGATTGACGTGCAACTTATACACGACATTTGTTCACGTTATATCTGGTTCAATTCTTTTGCCCCCTCTGATCGAGTATTAGGTTAGGTTAGGCAAATAACTACATATTATATACAATGCAATTCAACGTCGTACACCTATACAATATTTACGATCCACATTAAAATACAAGTTAAGACCCGAAGGAGATTGCAAGTTTCCATACTTGTACTACTGAACAGTAGGTAAAACCGTAGATAAATCTATTCATATATATGTCTAATTGGTTGCATTTCTAAAATTTGATCGAAAAATTTAGAAAAAATAGATTTTATGTGACAGTTACCTTTTCGCGCCTTTCCAACTAATCAGCCAAATAGGTTTAACTTTAAACGGTCTATTATAAAATTCGTTTATAGTGCGCCGAGATCCTATTTTCTTTTTAAGGGACGCTGTTGTTCAAGGTGCTTGTAAACTTTATAGTCGCATCACACAAAGCAAATACTTACTTATATAATTATATGTATGGGTATCGCATTATTATATTTTTCCTTTTCGTTAAATCCTAAGGTTGAATTATTACATAGCCGTCGTCAAATATTACCACTAAAAAACGGGTTGACTTATGCCAAGGACCGACACCGCTTGCCTTCCTCATAATACTGGTAGCTGCGATGCGATGATAAAATTTACCTGTTTGCGGTACCATGGATATATTATATTTTGGACCCTCGAGCTGATGTTTAAGTAATGGTAGCGGCGTTGAATTCGTTGAACTGATGCAACTTTGGGATAAAGTATCATAGCTTAGTTTTATACGTATCGGATAGGTTTTTGAGGGATTCTGATTATACAGTATATGTTTATAAATTATTTTTACTATATGTTGTGTGAACGTGGTGTATGTAAAGAGATAACAACCATGTATAGAGTGTTGGAGGAGTGGTGCTACCCAAGGCGGTGCATTCTAGTATACATGATAATATAACTTCATATGCCTCGCCTGAATGTGCAGGTGTTCTACAGGAAACCCAGTCTATTCCCATTACTTTTCAAAATGCTTATTTAGGCATTGTAGCCTCTAGCCGATGGGTGCGGGAACGCCTAAAAGCAGGTGAGAAGCTCTGTTCCGTGTAAGGGCTGTGCTGAGCATGAAATGAATATCTACCTTACATGAATGTAAGAAATACGAGTATGAACGAAACCGATGGACTAATGGTACAGTGTAAACAAATGATATATCGCCATATTTGGCGATGCAAATAAAAAGCGGTAACGCGAAAAGATCTGTCCGATTGGTCATGCCTAGATAGAAAATATAGTTTATACACAGATCGTTATTAAGCTTGCTTTTTTAAGATTTAGCTCTACTATGCTGATTGAGTTGGCCGTTAACACGACGAAGCGAAACCGGTAGAACACATTTTCGAAAGAAATAGTGCAGTAAGTTATTACCTGATAAGACTTTTCAGTTTGTTGTATGTGCTGCATCATGTTTGAAGACAATTTTCCCTAGCAAACCTTATCCGGTTTGCTTTTACGTACGGATAGGCCGTTGTATTATCGACAATGTCCTTTTTAGCTACTCTGTTTCAAGTAAAGCGTCCAATCCCATACAACTCTGTCTTTAATAGCTGTTTAAGACCGTATGTTCAACCAGTGATTCTAAGTCTTACAAGAGCCCAACCCACGCAGTTTTCGCATCGGATCTAATTCAGAGCCATCGATTTACAACCATATGCTTGTCTGAACCGCACATTTTACGGTTTTGTAAATCTGTGTAGTTCGCTCATTAGATTACTCTTAGTGGCGTCTAAAAATGTAAAATCCACAGTATTGAATTTACCTTTTTTTTTTTTTGTAAACTGTCGCTCTGTTTGTATCAAATAAATTCACAATTTTTTCACAAGTTGCCTGCCAACTTACCATATGATTTGCCAAATTATACTTTCGTGTTTTTCAGAAATGGTTCTCTTTTACTTCAGCACTTCACCATACACGTAGCTCATGTACGTACGCTTTGAAATACCACGTCCTACAACACACATTACGCCCGTCTATGTATTACATGTTTGTTTAACTAAGAAGAATAATTACCGGCAGTGCATAGATGGAAGGCCATAGATATCGTTAACAGCCCAAACAAAGCCGTTCTATTTATGTGTGTGTGCGCTTGAGACTCGGTCTATTCCGTCAGCTACGCCCGCGCCTAGCTTGCGACTGGATTCGAGTGTAGTACGGTGACAGAGTGGAGCTGCATGGCCTGTGTGATACTGAGAGGCCGGCCACACTGCCTCGTCTATCCGTTTGTACTATTTTATTAGGTAGGACGATTGGCTGGTCTGCTGTCTCCTTTCCTGTGGCTGCCAGCTGGTGCTGGGTAGTGATGCAATGGCGTCAGCGAAGGCAAAAAAGAAGGCTCAGTGCAAAACATTACACGGTTGCTTCTATTTCATCCGTTGAGCATCGAGCGCGTCGTGAAAAGCGAGACTAAGACATAGAGAAAGAATAACTAGAAGCTTTTTAAAAAGAAAAAAAAAGATGTATAAAAGACATGACGAATGTAAAAGTCTGCATTGCAACAAGGTTATTGTCGTATGACTAGCATGGAGAAGCAAGTGTGATGGCTGATATGAAACAAAGTAAAGGCAAACTTGGCGTCTTCGTTTTGTTGGATTATTTGGCTACTGCGGCGTCGTCTATCAGGCGATGTTGGCTATTGCTTGCCAGAGACGGTAAGGCAGAAGTAATCCTGCTTGTATGTTTGTATGTGTGTATGTATGTAATGTACGTCTTGCCTTGTTTCATAGTCACAGCACAATCTTTTTATCGCGAATAGGTATTAAGCGAGCACCGGATGGCATACCTGTATCCTCGACTGCAGTGTCTTTACGAGTTACTAGATTATGGCACACGCGCTTATCATTGTCAAGGACAACACTGACTATCCCGTCTGACCTGGTGGTATGAGATGCCCTTATCTATTTTTTGCGTTGGAAGGAAACGCATCCGTCCGTCTTCTACTGCTGTATCAGAGCGACAATTTTTATATTAGACGAAAAGCAAACTAAACTCCAGCTGCTGATACCTTTGGGCATGCTAGACAAAACAAATTATATTTACATACGTTTTACAGATGCACCACGTACGGTACGGATTGGACGTTCAGTCACTAGATGCTCCTATCAATGCGTGGAGCTTCAGGAGAAAATGTTCCAGTGTGAAGCTGGCATGATATATACACAAACACATCTGAAATGGCCTCTGAATTTGTATAATTCGTTTAAGGGTAACGCAGTGTTACTGGCCGATATCGATTTTGCTTTACCTGCGCTTGATTTTTTTTAAGTAAAGTTTTAGTGCCGGTCAAAATGTTTGTACATGAGATACGATGCCATATCATCGTTACTAAATGACGTTCATGGACAAAACGGGTGTAGGAACGTGCATTGGTCAATGCAGGGGTGTTCTTAGAATATATATACCGAATACAGAATGCATATACCGGAACGTAAAGACATTCATAGGAATATAACGGTAAACACGAACGAACCTAGTAGCGGTAAGTGGTTTCTTTCAACGCGAATCCATAGCATTCGGTTATAAGGGATACGACTTTTGAGGAGAGTCTTTACAGGAGGTCTGGACAGACCAGAAAATGAAAATAATACATTTGCAAAAGGTCAGCTATCGAATGAACAACGTAAGAGCCTTTCCATAGATTCGAATACGGCAGATATATGGGGCAGTCAGCCATTTCAACAATATGTCTCATTTAATTAGTACCTAAGAGTTCATTGCAGTTCTAAAATATAATATATTTGGGTTCGTCGGACGTCGTGAGACGTCCATTTATTTCCAACTGAGCCATAAAGCCCTTTTTAATGATGTTCTCGCCTAACAGTCGGTAAAAGCTATTATGAAAGAACCGTATTGACGAGTTCTGCGTCTGGGTATTTACTTGTGTGGCACAAACGAAAGAACACTATCCCATCAAATTACAATAATAGTCATTATTAAGGCCTTCCCGTAGCAACAACGTAGCCGAAAGGGACGTTTTAATCATAAATATAAGTTATATCGCCGAAACCTAAAACATACTAAAATCCAACATTGCTTTTTTAAGGCTAATTTGATCGTTGTCACTCAGACGATTTAACTGACCATAGCAGAACACTATGTAACAAACCCAGATGACGTGGTAACGTCTAAAACAAAACGTGTCAAAATTTCATTTGATCTATTATACTAACATTTTAAAATTAATTTATAATCATCTGGTGGCATGAGTGTGCTACCGCATATTGTCAGTTAGATCGGTTGCTGTCTTCGCTTTATGTCCCTATGTCTCATGGGGTCTTACCTCATCTAGGCAGCCACACGATAGTAGAACACTTATATATAGGAGCTTCTA